CCAGACTCCTTTATTTAAAGTAGAATTTATTGATTTATAATTTCGGCTGATAATACAATTGCGAGTATCTCGTGATTAGATGATCCAAAATCAATAAATGTTAGCTTATTGGATCCGCCTAGTTTCGAGGAATCGAATGGTAGTTGTTTCATACGAATCGTAGTGATATTGACCGAGATCGTATATCTTTTGTTTTTTGTTTTTCTAAATATAAAAAATCATGTGATATGACGTCATTTCGACTATTTCGTGACTTTAGCCTTCAATGGTCAAAATGATTTTGACCATTTTGACCATTTCAACTTCATGTATAATCCTCACTACATTTTTCTGAAATAAAATTAAAAACAGGAAAATGTTATAAAACCTTTTCTTATTGGATCCATTTAATAAAATCCAATCTTACTTGTCGTTATATGATCTTAATTTAAAAAATTCAAAATGAACTTTAATTGATTTCATGGTATATTCAATTTGATCTTATTTAAATTCCTTTTATTTGAATAAGTTATTAAAAAAGCATTCCATTAATATATCTAATATATGTAATAATAAATATAATTTATCTTAAATAAAGTTTTCTTGTTTAATAGTAGGAAATAATAATAGCTTTTTTTGACTTATTTATTTAAATTTTAAATTAGTTTAGATTTTAAGTTAATTCAATTAAAATTGTTTTTACAATAAATATTTACATTTTGTATTTTTATTAATTAATCAATATAAATCCATGCTAATGATTACTTGTTTTATAATTATAAATAGAAATTTTTGAATTTGATACATTTAATCCTATAATATTATATATTGTCAATGTCAGAAATCAACTTTATTACGATGATCATCAGTGACCAATAAAATAACGACATAATAAGTCTAACGAATACTGTGTCAAATGATCTGCAAAATCTTAGGATTCTTAGGATTTACCAGATCTACATGATCATTATGATTCATTGGATTTTTCTAATTTCCTGTATTTCTATCATTTTAATTATTATCATTATTTTTATTATTTTTATTATCTCTGTTATAATTATTATCTTTGTTATTATTTTATTATTATTAAATTAATTAAATTAGCACTTGTAGTTACAAATTTAGTTAGTTTATAGTATAGCAACTAGTTAGCTGTAGCAAATTTATTTTATATAAATAGAATAGCTTGTTGCTCAAATTGTAAATTAACTCATTTGCGAGTTTTAAATTCTATTGCGAGTTTCAGTTTTATTATAAGTTCAATAATAAATAAAAGAATCAACTTTGAAAAACAATTACTTTTCCCTTCTATGTGTTCATTATTTAGGATTTGATCGTAAACTACTATACTAACTTGCTTTTAAGTTCATTACTTAGAATGAATAAAATTCTTTACATTTTTCCTAAGTTCCTAAATCTTTAAGTTTGTAAAGTCGAGTGAAATAGTTCCAAAGCATTCTGGATACCTGTAGGATGTGAGATTCTCTAAGGTTGTAAAGTCTAATGATAAGGAATTTACTTGTTATAATAAAATAACTTAACGAAATATATGTGTAATTAGAGAATTATTTCTAGTGACAATGTAGTGATTCCTGCCAGGCAAATATAAAGAGAAAAGTATATAGAAATTAAGTAGATTTAAATACACTTAAAGAAGATAATCAACTACACGACCTTAGTCATGAATCTGATATTAACTCTGAAAGATTAATAGGAATTATCCCTTGTATATACCTGAATCTGATAACTTTGAAGACTTTCAGTACTGGTATAGTAGCTATCATCTATAATCGATATAGTCTGAAATTTCAAAAACTCAAAAATCATGTGATTTTATATTACTTTACGTAACTTCTGTATATAGCATCACATACGCTTTATTGATTTATTTTATTTAACTCTACTAATACATAATCGGAAATATAATGATGAGATTTGTATTTTTTAGCAGCATATTCTGCCAGCTTACCAATAATCCCTTTTTTATACAAATCCATATACCGGCATATTTTTCTTACAAACTTTCTTATTGTAATTATACTAACAGACTCTAAAGCTATAGGAATAATACGTTGCAAGCCTAACCATGAATAATCACAGTTTTCTTGCACATATTATTTGCTGCCTCATAATACCATTCAATATAATTCAACTCACAGTGAAATTTTGGATAGAAGATACATTATGCCTAGCATTTAATATTACTTCTTCTAATGCACTTTTTTGTGCTAAAAAGTCAGTTGTAAATAAATAATCTGCCATGTATAACAATCTATTCAAGTTATATTATCTATTTTATCTTTACATAATTGACAATCTGCTTTTAATCTATCTTTTCATAATCCATACTCAATTAGAACCTGCTTCATTCCTTTTAGTTTACCATTTTCATTTACCATTAATTGATGTTGATTATTTAATCTAAAGACTGTATCTTTCATCTTTGGTTGTTTGCCTCTGGATTTTAGGTTCATTCTGTTGATCACAAGAGCATCAGATTTAAATGCTGCATGATTTGAGCTATTGTCAAATGCAAAAAATGTAAAGCAATTAGGAAAGAGTATTTTAAAAATAGGAATAGCCTTTGTCTTTACTTGTTCTATTAAATGTTCACTTGTTCAGAAACCTTTTCGATCTTTACCTGACTGAAGATAAATACGTACATCTTCAGGTATAGAAGGATTTTTTTGATGTTGTTGTGCATTTAATTTAAGCTGATCACATTCTTCTGATAAAAACTCCCTAATTATTATTGATCGTCCATTTTCCTTTTTACACAATGGCAATTCTCCAGATTTTCTCGTTTTCCATCATTAGAGTAGAAAATACACTCATCATGTGTTATAATTACTTTCTTATCATTGGTTCTAATATTGGAGGCTTCCGTTCTATATTTTCACCTTCATATTTTGTCATATACTTTTCATAAATATAGATTTTCTTCAAAAACATTTGACAATATTCTATAATATCAGGATGCTCATAATCATCATAATATATCCTATTAAGATAAGTAATATTAAAATCGATATAATTAATTTATTATATTTAATAAATATTTTACCTTGTTTTTGAGATTGAAAAAAGTAACCAAGTATATTTAACCAACGTGTTGCAGTCATTATACTAATTGTTTTTTTATATTATTTTAGAATTAATAAGTAATTTATTTTCAACAAACTTTTTAAATTTTAATGATGTAGTTGTTCCATCTTGAGCACGAATCCAGGTATGACATTCTTCTACTATATCTTTATTATCTATTAATTGTATTATTTTTTTATGTTTGTCTTGACGACTTATTGGAAGATAATTATTTTATAGCCAATAATTTGCCTAATATCTAATAGTCCTTGTTTTATATGATCCACTTTCAATAAAAACTAATTGTGCAGCTTTCATACTGGCCTTCATTTTTCCTTTTCCATTATCTAATTTTATCAAATATTCTAATATTGCTTATTTTTTATTATATTCGGCTACAGTTAATAATTTTTGTTATTCTTTAAGCTCAATTTTTAAAATATTGATTTTTTCGTTTAAATTAAACAGATTTTGTTCTTCATTTTCCATGTCATCCAAAATTTCTTCAAAATCAATTGAAGTTGATTGATTTTTATTTATAAATGTTAAAATATTTGCAGTTCCTCTTGCAGCTTTTGTAAAAGAATCATTTGATCCATACTTATTAAAATATGTTGATTTTTTAATCTTTTTAACAAGGAAGATCCCATTTCTTTTTTTCCAAATATGCATTATCTGATTAAACTAACTCATTTTTAAAATTTTTATTTTATTTAGTAAACTAACTTCTTTATCCCACCCTCTATCATCTTCATCTTCCCATTCATCAAATTCATCAATTAGCTTTAATTTTTTTAAAATTTTTTCTTTATTATCTATCTTGTTCTTGTTCTTTAACCTTAGATTTTCGCTTCGATAAATAAGTCATTATTATTAATTGATCAAAATGCGAAACATAATGAACATGTCATTTATTAGTTAATTTAAATACGGGAAAACATGAAAAAATAGGTAAAATCAGAACATTTTTTCAAGTCTATAATGTTTGTTTCATTTGTTTTAACTTTTTTAATTTATTATTAATAAGTTTCTTATTAAAACACAAGCAAAAATTATAATTTTATTAAAAAATTGAAATTTGGCATTTTTTTTTCTTGTTTTATGAAATAACTCATATATAAATAAAAAAGTTTTTAGCAATTTCTTTGATTTTCATATGAAATTTGTAAAAATGATGCGTCTAATCTAGTCCAAAATTTATCTTTTTACTATATGGTTCATATAAATATTCTTAAACTTTTAAATTAAATAAAATTAAATTTTTCTTAATAAATTGTAAAAGTAAACAAATAGAAATGTTCAGCAAATAATATTTTATTAATTTATCAGCTTAAATTTGTATTTTATTATTTTATTTCTAACTTATCCCTTCAATGGTTTTCCTTCCAAATTTAGAAGGAATTTACTTACACTTTAAAGTTAATTTTAAATACATTAAAAATTAATTATTAAGCTAATAATATTATTATAATAAAATTTATAATGTTTTTTAAGTAAAATCAAAATA